GGGGGGCATCATTCATTGCATGATGAATGTAACTTCGCGGCTCGTTCCCACCCACCCCCCATCTACCCCCCCGCGCCTTGTTTGCCCCCCCCTCCCCCGTCTCCATTCAAAGCAAGGTAATCCAATCACCTAGCCGATTTTCCAGGGCGCTCCGCGGGGAGGTGAAAAAAGGGAAAGGAATGGTGTTGGGCTTGGATTATCCCAAGGAGACGTTGAGTACAAGTGTTAGCTGCGATTCCGCCCCCCCCTTCTATCCTCGCCCCCGTTCTCCCTCTGCGTGTTAGTTAGTGTACGTGAGGAGCAGAAGAAGGCTGCCCTGGGAGAGACGGGAGCAGCTCGTTGCTTTTTTTCAACCTTGCAAAAATAATAATAATAATAATTAATAATAATAACAATCATTAATAATAATAATAATAATAATAATAATAATAATAATAATAATAATAATAATAATAATAATAATAATAATAATCATAATCATAATCATAATCATAATCATAATCATCATAATAACCATAATAATCATAATCATAATAATCATAATCATAATAATCATAATCATAATCATAATAATGCCTATCTGTAAAAACTGGGTTTTTTAAAAAAAAATTTGGAAAGTGCGAGGGGAAGCTTATAAGAATAGGAAAAAGGCAGGCATGATGGGAGGCTGGTTTGGAAAGGGTTTTTCCACTGGGGATTATAGGAAGGCATGGATTTTTTTGTGGGTGTGGGTGTGAATGAATGAATGGCTACGGTTGGGAAGCTTCAATCTATTCTAAACCTTGGAAGCGGCTGATTGAACTGGCTGGTGGGAAAGCCAGGAAGGTTTGCTGCGGGGGTGGGGTGGAGTGGGGAAATCGGTTGACATTTGTCCCGATGGCCCATTGAAGCCTTTCTCCAAACATAAGGGAAGTCAGTTCTCCCGAGTGTCCAGACAGAGAAGAGCAACAAAAATGATGAAGGGGCTGGAGGCTAAAATGTTAGAGGAATTGGGTACCAGACAGATTAACAGAGTTGAAAGAGACCTTGTAGATCAGGGGTCCCCAACCGCCGGTCCGCGGACCGGTACCGGGCCGCGGAACAAGCCTTACCGGGCCGCTGGTTGCTGGGCGCCGCCATCTTTTTTTGGTAAAAAAGTGCTTCCGGTGAGCTTTTCCGGGTAGAAAGCCATTTCTACCCGAAAAAGCTCACCAGAAGCGCTGGCGCCGCCATCTTTTTCGTCAAAAAAAGATGGCGCCCAGTTGACGCCGGTACCGGGCCGCGGCGCCCAGTTGATGCCGGAACCGGGCTGCGGCGTCGAAAAGGTTGGGGATCCCTGTTGTAGATCATCTAGTCCAGCCCCTCGCCCAAGCAGGACGCCCTACACCATTTCTGACGAATGGCAGTCCAGTCTTTTCTTGGAAGCTTCCAGTGATGAAGGTCCCACAACTTCCGAAGGCAACTTCTGCTCCATGGATTGATTGTTCTCACCATGAGAAAATTTCTCCTTATTTCAAGGATGAATCTCTCTTTGATCAGTTTCCATCCATTATTCCTTGTCTGGCCTTCAGGTGCTTTGGAAAATAGTTTGACCCCTTTGTCTCTGTGGCAGCCCCTTAAATATTGGAAAACTGCTATCATGTCTCCCCTGGTCCTTCTCTTCACTAGACTAGCCAAGCCCAATTCTTCATAGGTTTTAGTTTCCAGCCCCCTAATCATCCTGGTTGCTCTTCTCTGCATTTTTTCTAGAGCCTCAACATCTTTTTTTATAATGTGACCAAAATTGGATGCAGTATTCTAGGTGTGGTCTTACTAAGGCTTTATAGAGTGGTATTAGTACCTCAGTTTAGTAGTGCCTCGCTACCTTACCTCTATAGTCTAGTAAAAAGAAGGATTAGGAGTGATACACTGTTCCAATATTTAAAGGGCTCCTACAAAGATTGGGGTGCGGTCAAACTATTTTCCGAAACCCCAATAGGCAAGACAAGAAACGGGCTGGAAAGTAACCAAGGAGAGAAACAGCCTAGAGCTAAGGAAGAAATTCCTAACGTGAGAACAATCAACCAATGGAACAAGCTTGCCTTTAAAAGTTGTGGGTACTCCATCATTGGAGGCTTTCAAAAAGAAACTGGATAAACATTTGTCTGAAACTGGACTGCCATCGGTCAGAAATGCTATAGGGTCTCCTGCTTGGGTGGATGGGGGTGGGGGTTGCATCAGAAGACCTGAAGAGATCCCTTCCAACTCTTATTATTCTATGTTCAAAGACTTTTTGAAGAAATGAGTTCAAACCAAAAATGCTGTTTTGATAGTAAGTATTCCATCAAAGGGTAAAGAAGTTGCGCCATACGTTGCTATTCTAAATTCACTATTTTGAAATAGAGTATCGGATTTATTTATTTTTAAAAAAAAAAACACTATAATTTTCCATTAGGAATCCTTTGCAAATGGTTGGAAGGTTAATGTAGGTAAATGTTCTGTAGAGATTCTCCATCATCCAGTCATGGCTGTCCCAAAAGAGTTTTTCAAAAGAGAACTGGACTTTCTCAGTTTTTCCCCTCTTTGAAAACGTTTCACTTCTCATCCAAGAAGCTTCTTCAGTTCTGATTGAATTCTGAACACACACACACAAACACACACACACTATATATATATTACTAAACATACATGTATTATATGTGTGTATACACACACACACACACATAAAATTACTAAACATACATGTATGGTTTTACTGCTTTTAACCTTGTAAGCCACACAGTCTCCTTGAAATGAAGTGAGCAGCAAATACATTTAATAAACAAACAATACATTAGGACCCAAAAATTATCTCCAGGAAAAAAAATTAGGCTTACACAATTGGAAAATAGATGTGATAAGATATGTAAGAGTTGGTGCATGCATATTTCTTCATGCTGTGCTCAAGACAAGAAGATGCTTATTAATCACGGATTCTTATATCAAACTGATTAAAAAGCATTAATAAAGTGTAGGAATAATGAAAGGAAAGGTAAAACAAGATTGGAAACCCGGATTGTAATAAAAGAACTCAAATTGATTGTTTTTGTCAGCTTCCTAGAGTCTTTAAGCAGAAGCAGCAGCAACAACCAATTTTGACATTCTGGCATAGGGGACTGGAGACTAAAGCATATGAAGAACGGTTGCAGGAACTGGGCATGGCTAGTCTAGTGAAGAGAAGGACCAGGGGAGACAGGAAAGCAGTCTTCCAATATTTGAGGGGCTGCCACAGGGAGGAAGGAGTCAAGCTATTTTCTAAAGCACCTGAAGGCCAGACAAGGAATAATGGATGGAAACTGAACAAGGAGAGATTTAACCTGGAAATAAGGAGGAACTTTCTGACAGTGAGAACCAGCTTGCCTTCAGAAGTTGTGGGAGCGCCATCACTTGAGACTTTCAAGAAGAGATTGGACTGCCATCTGTCAGAAATGGTGTAGGGTCTCCTGCTTGGGTGGGGTTTGGACTAGATGACCTACAAGGTCCTTTCCAACTCTGATTATCTGTAAATATGTTTTCTCTGTAAATATTGGTTGAAATTTGAAGTATAAATATTTTTACCAGTCCCTGAGGCCATAGTTCTAGATCTGTTGTTAAATTCCAAATAGCAGGCATAAAGCCAAGAAGAACATGCTTTAATGCTGCGATCAGTCCAACCATGTTAAGTGGCTTGTGGATCTCAATATTCATATTGAATTTCATATTCAAT